GATTTCCTTCTTGAGCAGGGGATTGGACTAAAAGACCTCCAAGGTCCCTCCCAACTGTTATTCTATTCTATTCTATTCTATTCTATTCTATTCTATTCTATTCTATAGACTGGCTAAGATCCTCTTCAGGTGGCTTCATGTTTGGCAAATGATAAAACGGATTAACTTTGAGGGAAATCAGATACCAATCAATTTCTCATCAAAGCAGCCTGAGAAGGCAAAGTTATGGCACCTACAAGATTCAGAAGAGTCATTAAGTGCCAGCTTTAGGAGTGGTGTGGTGGCCTAGAGGTAGAGATCTCGCCTCACAATCAGGAGGCTGTGAGTTGGATCCTAGGTAGAGGTAGATGTTTCTCTTTCTGGGCACAATGAGAATATATCTGCTGAACAAAACTCCGCATCGGCAACAGGAAGGGCATCCGGCCAGTAAAACATTCTGCTAACTCCATTCAGTTGCCCAGACCCCACCCTCCAAGAGATTATGGGGTCATTAAAAGAAGATGATGATTAAGTGCCAGCTTTATCAGTTACAACTCACGAGCTGTAGACCACATAATCAGTTCAGAAGAAGGGTATTGGACTAGGTCAATGGTTCTCAACCTTACCACTTTGAAGCTGAGTGGACTTTAATTCCCAGAATTTTTTTTTATTATTATTTATTTTTATATGCCGCCCTTCTCCGGAGACTCAGGGCGGCTTACAATGCGTTAAGCAATAGCCTTCATACTTTTGTATATTTTATACAAAATCAGCTTATTGCCCCCACAAACCGGGTCCTCATTTTACCCACCTTAGAAAGGATGGAAGGCTGAGTCGACCTTGAGCCTGGTGAGAATTGAACTCGCAGTAATTACAGGCAGATGGATGTTAAATGCTGCCTTAGTAGGAGGCATTAGCCTCCTACGCCACTCAGGCTCCTCAGCCAGCTTCTTCAAGTTGTCAAGATTGAGAAAAACTGGACTAGGAGATCAACCGTTTTATATTTTTTTGAACCCTGAAATAAGCGCTTGATCTTATTGCCATGCACTTAAAAGCCCGATTGGGCTTATTAGCAGGGGATGTCTTATTTTGGGGAAAACAGGGTATATTAGCTTAGAGAACAGGTTAAGAGCCTTGATAGTACAGTGGTTTAGTGCACCCTGTTATTAACACAGCTGCCTGCAATTTCTGCTGGTTCGAATCTCTCCAAGGCTCAAGGTTGACTCGGCCTTCCATCCTTTCTAAGGTAGGTGAAATGAGGACCCAGTTTGTGGGGGCAATAAGCTGACTTTGTATAAAAATATACAAAAGTATGAAGGCTATTGCTTAACGCATTGTAAGCCGCCCTGAGTCTCTGGAGAAGGGCGGCATATAAATCAAATTTTTTAAAAAAATGATTCTAATAAGATATTTGTCAAAAGGATAATGGAATTGTGGTTAGAAAAATGTCTGGTGCAACTAGTGTTATGGTGGGAATTTCATCTAGTAAAATGGAATTCAGGTAGTCCTTGACTAATGACCATACCTGAGCCCAAAATGTTTATTGCTAAGTGAGATAGTTGTTGAGTTTTGCCACATTTTACTTTCTGGCCACCGTGGTTTAAGTGAATCGCTGCAGGTCTTAAATTAGTAACATGGTTGTTAAGTGAATCTGGCTTCCTCATTGACTTTGCTTGTCAGACGGTCACAAAAGGGGATCCATCACATGAGTCCGGGACATTGTAACTGACATAAATACATGCCAGTTGCCAAGTATCTGGATTTTGATCACATGACCATGGGGATGCTGCACCGGTCATGTGTGAAAAACAGCTAGAAGTTAACTTTTTCAGAATTGTTGTAACTTTGAACGGTCAGCAAACAACCTGTTGTAAGTCAAGGACTGCCTATATAGACAAAGAACCTTCTTTCCTTCCTTCCTTCTTTCCTCCCTCCCTCCTTTCCTTCCTCCCTCCCTCCCTTCTTCCCTCCCTCCCTCCCTCCTTCCTTCCATCCATTTATCCATCCTTCCTTCCTCCTCCTTTGCTTCCTTCTTTCCTCCCTCCCTTCCTCCTTCCATCCCTCCCTCCTTCCTTCCTTCCATCCATTTATCCATCCTTCCTCCTCCTTTGCTTCCTTCTTTCCTCCCTCCCTTCCTCCTTCCATCCCTCCCTCCTTCCTTCCTTCCATCTATCCTTCCTTCCTCCATTCCTTCCTTCTTTCCTCCCTCCCTCCCTCCTTCCTTCCTTCCCTCCCTCCCTCCCTCCCTCCCTCCCTCCCTCCCTTCCTTCCTTCCTTCCTTCCTTCCTTCCTTCCTTCCTTCCTTCCTGTCAATCTTGACCCTTGTTGACTGCCTAGGGTTTAGGCAAGTCCCTGAAGTTTTCTTGGCAAAGTTTTGGGGAAGTGTTTTGCCATTGCATCCTTCCTAGGGCTGAGAAAGAGCGGCTGGCCCAAAGTCAGCCTAAGTGGCCCCATGCCCTAAGGCAAAACTAAAACTCACAATTTTCTGGATTCTATCTAGCCTGGTGCCTTAGCCGCTTCACTAAACCAGTTCCTTAACTAAACTATATATATACTATATATATACTAAAGCACCTACAGGTTTCCTCAACTCTTTTTGCAAATCACAGACATGCAACCATTTTGCGGTCAGAGCAGACAAGTGGGTTCCTTTTCTTTGTAAAGAGAAAGCTTTTCTTCATGTTGGGTTTTGATTCTGATGACTTCATGGATGTGCCCATATTCTTTTCTTGTCAACAGTATGGAAATGGCGCGCCTCTGCCTTGTTCTATCGACTATCAAGCCAACGGGGGTTCTCGGATGGTTCTTTGTGCATGAAAAACCAAGCCTAACCCTTCTCATCTTCCAAACTCAGCCAAGGCTGTTTAGTGTTGCTACTCGCATAGACTTTATAGTCTTATTTGGGGAGATGCCTATAGCAGTGGTGGGATTCAAATAATTTAACAACCGGTTCTCTGCCCTAATGACTGGCTGGGTGGGCGTGGCCATGATGGGCATGACCAGGAGGAGTGACAGGTAGCACTTCGCCTCCTGCACCCCCTGGAAGCAAAAATGGGCCTAAGGGGTAGAGCGTACTGCACACACACCCGTGCCCTGTTTTGGGCCTAGTAGGCCTCCCTGCAGCCTCCTGGGAGCAAAAACAGGGCAGATGGGGACTTCTGGAAGGGGCAGCGAGGGATGGGGCCAGCTAGCAATTTAACAACCGGTTTGGCTGAAGTGATGCGAACCGGTTGAATCCCACCACTGCTCTATAGGTACCCCAGGAGCATGTTGTGATGGTACCAGAGACTTTGGGGGGGGGGGCGTCAGAATTTTAACCTCGTATGTTTTTTTCACTTCACCCTTCAAATCTAAATTTATCACGTTTTGCCAATTTTTGACATCAACGTGGTTATTTTTTAAAAAAATAATGCCCTGAACGTGTTTGACCTGCTTTCAAACTTCAAGTATACATATTTGGGACAAATTTTCAGAGGGTTCACATTTCCTGGGCATAGTTTTGCCTGCAACCGACACTTCTGATAGAGATTTTTGTAAGTTATTTTTTTCCCATTTCTTCTTTACTGCAAGAAATTGCCAAGAGAAAAACAAAAAAATAAAAACAATAAATAAAGTACAAGAGGGAAGGAAAGAAGGGAGGGAGGGAGGAAGGGAGGGAGGGAGGAATGAAGTAGTTGGCATTGTGTATGTGCATTGTGTGTGTGTGTTTTCTAAGTAAGGGAGGGGAGAGAGAACAGGGAAGGGAAGGGAAGGGAAGGAAGGGAAGGGAAGGGAAGGGAAGGGAGGGAGGGAGGGAGGGAGGAAAGAAAGAAATCCAGGAGATATTTTTTTTACCCAGAACAAAATCAGTATATCTGTTAAGGAAAACTTTTTAATAAGGCTAAGAAATCGTGACCAAATTTAAATAAGTCAATTTTCTTTTGAGTCCAAATCAACTCCTAGCGATTTTGTTAACATCCCCATGTAGTTTTCTGGGCAACAGTACAGCAAAATTTTTGCTACTGCCATTTTCTAGAAAATTGTGATGGAATGTAATCTAGATTCCCAAGCGGGAAGGAATGCATTCCAGAAAAGCAAAAGACAACTTACTTCAAATATGTTGTGTGAAAAAAAAAAAACCCTCTTCCCTAATAATTCCCAGAACATGGGGATGATAGCAGTCATTAATGGAAAAAGATTGATATCAGGTTCCAAAACTCAAGGAAGACAAGTTGTGACTCTTCCAAGAAGATTTCATTATTGTTCCTCACCTAAAGACAGCATCTTGCCAAACTAAAGCAAAGTACCAGCCACATAAAGAATATACTCAGGGAACTATTAGGGAGGAGCCATCCTCACCCTCTTTCTCTCACACAAACTGAGTTGTCTTTTGCTCCTCTGGAATGTGCTCCCTCCCTTCTGGGAATCCAGACAACATTCCATCACAGATATTATCTCAGCTTCCCTGTGAATTCTATTTCAGTATTTACTGGTAACCTCCCAACCAAATATTAATCACGTCCAACTGAGCCCAGGTAATTTCATCAGAGCCTCTTAACTGCTCAGACAAATCTCAGTAAACCTCTAGGTGATTTCTATATTTCAATAAACAAATTTCAACAAACCTCTAGGTGATTTCTAGATTGATTGAAGAAAGATTGCAGTAGAAGGAGCAATGATTCGTTTTCTCATCAGCAACATATCAAGGAACAGGTGTCTACAGAGCCACAGTGGCGCAGTGGTTAGAGTGCAGTACTGCAGGCTACTTCTGCTGACTGCCAGCTGACTGCAATTTGGCAGTTCGAATCCCACCGGACTCAAGGTTGACTCAGCCTTCCATCCTTCCGAGGCTGGTAAAATGAGGACCCAGGTTGTTGGGGGCAATAGGCTGACTCTGTAAACCACTTAGAGACAGCTGTAAAAGCACTGTAAAGCGGTACATAAATTTAAGTGCTATTGCTATTGCTACTTGCCTTAACCAGGGCTGCTGGTTTTTGTTTTTATTTAAACCCGTTGTCTTCTTTTATTCCTCTCCTTACCAGGTTGCGATTTAATCCCAGTTGAATATCTACGATGGGGTGATCCAGAACCTATCGCCGCCGTGGTTTTCGCCTGCTTGGGTCTCCTGGCTACTTTATTCGTCACTGCCGTATTCATCATGTACCGTGACACGCCGGTGGTCAAATCTTCCAGCCGTGAGCTCTGCTACATCATCTTGGCTGGCATCTTTTTGGGTTATCTGTGCACCTTCTGCCTGATTGCAAAGCCCCAGCAGATCTACTGTTACCTTCAAAGGATCGGCATTGGTCTCTCCCCAGCTATGAGCTACTCAGCTCTGGTGACGAAAACCAACCGCATTGCCCGGATTCTGGCCGGCAGCAAAAAGAAAATCTGTACCAAGAAGCCGCGATTCATGAGCGCTTGTGCCCAGCTGGTCATCGCTTTTATCTTGATCTGCGTTCAGCTTGGCATCATCGTCGCCCTCTTCATTATGGAGCCTCCGGATGTCAAGCACCATTACCCAAGTATCCGAGAAGTCTACCTGATATGCAACACCACCAACCTGGGGGTCGTAACCCCGCTTGGATACAATGGTTTGCTCATCTTAAGCTGCACCTTTTACGCATTCAAGACCAGAAACGTCCCTGCAAATTTCAACGAGGCCAAATATATCGCCTTCACCATGTATACAACCTGCATTATCTGGCTGGCCTTTGTGCCAATTTATTTCGGGAGCAACTATAAGATTATCACCATGTGCTTTTCGGTAAGCCTGAGTGCCACCGTGGCCCTCGGTTGCATGTTCGTACCAAAGGTGTACATCATTCTTGCCAAGCCAGAGAGGAATGTACGCAGCGCGTTCACCACGTCGACTGTGGTTCGCATGCACGTGGGCGATGGGAAGCCTTCTTCTGCGGCCAGCCGTTCAAGCAGTTTGATCAACCTGTGGAAAAGAAGGGGATCTTCTGGAGAAACTCTAAGGTAATCCTTGATTTAGTGGATTTCTTGCGGGCCAGATGGGAAGAGAGAAAATGCTGATTTTAAGCATGATTGCTTCTACGATGCTGTATATTTCGCAGATATTATTTAGAGCAATCTGGGTGTTCTTCAAGATTCAGGAACCTTCATTGCATTGGGCTTTGTTTTGTATCTTTTCAGCAACACAGAAAATATTTAAGCATTTGTATTCTGAATTTGTGATGAAATTATTTTACCTACCATATTTTTCGGACTATAAAACGCTCCGAACTATAAGACACACCTAGCTTTTGGGGAGGAAAACAAGAAAAAAAATCTGCCTCTATCTCCCAGCAATTTGCCTCCTTGCAGCAAACAGCAAACAGTCTGGTCAGCTTCAGCACAGTCTGATCTAGCCTGAGCAGCTGATTGGCGGTTGGATCGGCCTCCCGGAATACCACCTATCAGCTGTTCCAGGCTGCAGGGATCACCGCCGTCCATCCCTGCTGTCACCGTCCATCGCTTTCGCCACCTAATGCCTTCTCTGCGTGCCCCATTTTTAGCCTCCATGCATCCCATTTTTGGCCTCCATGCACCCCATTTTTGGCCTGTTTCAGATGGCAGGGATTGCCGCTGCCACCTATCCCTGCCACCTGGAATGGACTGAAAATGGGACACACAGAGGTCGAAAATGAGGCATGGAGGTGGCAAAAGGCAGCAGCAGTTTTGGGTGGCGACGGAGGCAGTGATCCCCACAGCATGGAACAGCTGATAGGCGGTATTCCGGGAGGCAAATCCAACTGCCAATCAGCTGTTCATGCTAAATCAGGCTGTGCTGAGGCTGACTAGGCTGTTTGCTGTTTGCTGCAAGGAAGTAAATTGCTGGGAGGCAGAAGCCAAAGGGTGGGGGTCAGCGGGTGGACAAGGCTTTGGCAACATTCGCTCTATAAGACGCACAGACATTTCCACCCACTTTTGGGGGGGAGTGCATTTTATACACCGAAAAATACGGTAACTAGATTCAGATCGTCTTCTTCAGCTAATACTCTCCAGATTTATTGGCATAGCAGCATTCTCTATAGTTTTTATCGTTTTGCGACTGTTACTCTGTGGTAAGATGGGTGGCCAATAAACTTTGCAAATAAATAAATAATTTCTAAATTTTAGGAATCCTGATATTCAGAGGATACTAACTGGAGGAAAGTTCCCTAAATATACTCTTCTGATTTTCCTTTTCTTCCCATTTTTTCCTCGCCACTTTTCTATTTTTTTGCAAGCTTTCTTCTTTCTCCATAGAAGGGATGCAACTTATCCTACAACAGTTCATAGCCCCATCATGGATCTTGACCTTTCTCTTGGAAACAAATGGATTGGTATTTGGTTAAATTAAATAATACAATAGCAATGTATGCAGAAGACAATTTTTCAAGTATTAACAGATGATTTCTTAAACTGATCACCAGAGTTCCTGTATATCTTTTCTTGGTGTTATGGGAATTGCTCCCTCCTCCCAGCTATACTTCATATACAGGCAGTCCTCGACTTACGACAGTTCATTAAGTGACCATTTGAAGTTACAATGGCACTGAAAAAAGTGACTTATGACTGTTTTTCACACTTACAACCGTTGCGGCATCTCCTTGGTCACGGGATCGAAATTCAGATGCTTGGCAACTGATTCATATTGACCCTGTTTCCCCGAAAATAAGACATCCCCTGATAATAAGCCCAATCGGGCTTTTGAGCACATGCGCTAAAATAAGCCTCCAGCTGAAAATAAGCCCTCCCCAAAAATATTTAAACGCAGAGCTGGAAATCAGGTAAGACAGCAAGAGGAGCCCCATCTCGCTCCATGCGCCCCAAAATAATAAGACCTCCCTGAAAATAAGGCCAAGTACTAATTTCAGAGTTCAAAAAAATATAACACAGGGTTTTATTTTCGGGGAAACACGGTATGATGATTGCAGTGTCCTGGGGTCATATCAGTGGTGAAATCCTCTGTGGTTTGCCACTGCTTCGCTGCGCACACACATGCACAGTACGTGCCAAATGCATGCTGCATGGGCACATACAGTGCGCACCAAACAGACATTGCATATGCATGTGCTGTGTGCACCAAACACACGCTGCACACACGCGCATGCATAGTTTATTTATTTATTTATTAGTTCAATTTATATGCCGCCCTTCTCCAGAGATTCAGGGCGGCTTACAATGCGTTAAGCAATAGCCTTCAAACTTTTTTGTATATACCTGCTTAGTAGGGCTTTCAGCCCCCCCCCACACAAAGCGATGTTCTTTTTTATACAAAGTCAGCTTATTGCCCCCACAATCCGGGTCCTCATTTTACGTACCTCGAAAGGATGGAAGGCTGAGTCAACCTTGAGCCTGGTGAGATTCGAACTTGCAGTAATTGCAGGCAGCTGGTGCTAGTTAACCGCACTTTAGTCTGCTGCGCCACCAAGGCTCTCCTTTTTTGCATGCCAAACGCACACTCCACACGTAAAAAGGACACTAAACAAGGTAAGTAGAACAGCGAGGGGGGAACAGCTGTGCCGCACTATTTAGATTCGCTAGAAGTAGGATTTCCGGCTTTCTAGCAAATATAAATCGCACGGGACAGCTGATCGTCGGAAATACCGCTTTGGACCAACCTGTAGCTTTTATCACTACCGGTTTGCCTGAACCGATGCGAATCGGTAGGATTTCACCACTGGGTCATATGATCATCTTTTGGGACCTTCTGACAAAAGAAATCAACGGGGAAGCCAGATTCACTTCATAATTGTGTTACTAACTTAACAACTGCAGTGATTCGCTTAACAACTGTGGCAAGAAAGGTTATAAAATGGGACAAAACTCACTGCACAAATGTCTCACTTAGCAACGGAAATTTTGGGCTAAATTGTGGTCATAAATCGAAGAGTTTCTATATACCATGACAGGGTTATAGTTTAATAGGTGGGAAAATCCATGGGTTAACCTCCCTTCATACACACAACTTTAGATGTAGGGGGGTTCTAGGTGCAGATAAAATGAGTCTTTGTGAGCAAAAGCTTACCACGCAAATGTGTGGCAAAATGTAGAATGCAATAGCATTTATTTATTTATTTATTTATTTATTTATTTATTTATTTATTTATTTTTATTAAATGTGTATACCGCCCTTCTGCTGGACTCAGGGCGGTGCACAGCCAAAATAAAAAAACATCCCAATACAAAATTTAAAATTTTAAAAGAATTACACAACTTTAGCCCAAAATCTAAAACATCCCAACTAAAACCCATAGACAATTAAAAATCTAACATCTCAAAAGAGGGGGGGGTGTTACGCCAGCCCTGCTTGGTGGAAAAGAAAAGTTTTTAGGGCACGGCGAAAAGCCCGGAGATCTGGTATCATGCGTATCTCCGGGGGCAAATCGTTCCAGAGGGCAGGTGCTGCCACAGAGAAGGCCCTCCCCCTGGGGGTCGCCAGCCGACACTGCCTGGCTGACGGTACCCTGAGGAGTCCCTCTCTGTGGGAGCGTACTGGCCGGTGAGAGGCTAGTATTTTATACTATCCCTATATGCATACCCAAACACATACACACTGTGAGGACCTGTTGAGTCAGCTCCATGTAGGCCAGAAAAAGAAAAAGAAAAAACCAGAGCTTGGACACAACAAGAGATGAAGATTGCTTCCCCTTCCCTCTGAAGCTATTAATCCAAAATTCGTTTCTCTCCACTGATTGTCAAACTCACCGTGGGCTTCACTGTACATCTCAGCACAGCACAGGGAAGAGACAACATAATTGCTTCGTAACTAGAAATTAATCATTCACCATTCAGTAGATAAGATCATTAGCTGCTATTTTCGGAATTTCCATGAGTGTTTTCCAAGCGATTCAATTACTATAAATTTTTACTCTTCATATGTCATTCCTGCCTACTCGTCGCTTTCCCTTCTCTGCCTGCCGTTACTTATCCTTCTAATTTATTCTCAGCCGTGCTTTAAGTATCCCTGCGATGCCATTGCTTCCTGTGGCCTTGCAGTTCCCGTGCTTGTTATTCGTCACCTTCGTGTCAAGGTCTGAAGCTAATTCTTTGGTGGCCTCCTTATTCCTAATTAAAGAGACACAAGAATAATAAAGAATGAAAGCAAGCAAAGGCAGGAGCAGTGCTAGCTTGGATGTGGTGACCTTTGTTAACGAAGCAGAGAGCATTAAGACAAAAGCGGCGATGAGTTTCGAAAGAATCTGCTGTGTCGACAGGGTCATTAGCCAGCAAGGGACAAATGATAATCCCCATTCAGGGGAACCTTTCAGAAACAATTGTCCCCTATTCCAACCGTAGAACGTAGCCATTCTATTATCTGAAGGACTCCGTGGCTTACATCTGCATAGCCTCTGCAGTCATACTAAAATACACACAGCTTCATGGGGGGAAAAAGCAACCACGAGAAAAATCAACCAGCCAAATAAGCAGAAAATAAGGAAATAAAAATTGCTGCGGGGAAGGAAAAAAAGCATTTATTGTACCTCTGTCCCAACTGATTTGAAGGGAATGCACCTTCATCCGAGGAAGAGTATATTATCGGCTAGCTTTGATTTGTTTTCATTTTTATTTTTTTTTCGTCGCAACCAATTTTCCGCTTATTTTTCACGGCTTTTTCATCAAGAGCCACACGTTCTTTAAATCTAGTCAGATGAAAGCAGAGAGAGACCTGAAGGGTTACTTGGTCGTGTTAGAATTTTTTTAGATTCTCTGTTGGCCACGGAGAAGTGGTAGAATAACATTTCTTGGGAGAGTGAACGAAGCCGGCAATATACCCGTAGATGTGTGAGCTCTCCAAGGTCCTGAAATCTCCCGCTCTGGCAGAGCCCCAGACCTTTTCATATTTCTTCCGCTTTATGAACCCTCAGTCTGTTACTTGCCTTTTAGGAATCTTCACAGTGAAATTTGAAGGAAAAGAGGGATGTGACCCCCATGGGGCACAACCAAGTACAAAGGGTACTTTTGGGTCAGGAAATGGAGAGGCACAGGAT